TCACACACCAGCACGGGTCACACACACCAGCACGGGTCACACACCAGCACGGGTCACACACCAGCACGGGTCACACACACCAGCACGGGTGACACACCAGCACGGGTCACACACACCAGCACGGGTCACACACACCAGCACGGGTCACACACACCAGCACGGGTCACACACACCAGCACGGGTCACACACACCAGCACGGGTCACACACACCAGCACGGGCCACACACACCAGCACGGGCCACACACACCAGCACGGGTCACACACACCAGAACGGGTCACACACACCAGCACGGGTGACACACCAGCACGGGTCACACACACCAGCACGGGTCACACACACCAGCACGGGTCACACACCAGCACGGGATACACACACCAGCACGGGTCACACACACCAGCACGGGTCACACACACCAGCACGGGTCACACACTCCAGCACGGGTCACACACACCAGCACGGGATACACACACCAGCACGGGTCACACACACCAGCACGGGTCACACACACCAGCACGGGTCACACACACCAGCACGGGTCACACACACCAGCACGGGTCACACACACCAGCACGGGCCACACACACCAGCACGGGTCACACACACCAGCACGGGTCACACACACCAGCACGGGTCACACACCAGCACGGGCCACACACACCAGCACGGGATACACACACCAGCACGGGATACACACACCAGCACGGGAAACACACACCAGCACGGGCCACACACACCAGCACGGGATACACACCAGCACGGGTCACACACACCAGCACGGGATACACACACCAGCACGGGATACACACACCAGCACGGGTCACACACACCAGCACGGGCCACACACACCAGCACGGGTCACACACCAGCACGGGTCACACACACCAGCACGGGCCACACACACCAGCACGGGTCACACACCAGCACGGGCCACACACACCAGCACGGGCCACAAACACCAGCACGGGTCACACACCAGCACGGGTCACACACACCAGCACGGGTGACACACCAGCACGGGTCACACACACCAGCACGGGTCACACACACCAGCACGGGTTACACACACCAGCACGGGTCACACACACCAGCACGGGTCACACACACCAGCACGGGTCACACACACCAGCACGGGTCACACACACCAGCACGGGCCACACACACCAGCACGGGTCACACACCAGCACGGGTCACACACACCAGCACGGGTCACACACCAGCACGGGTCACACACACCAGCACGGGTGACACACCAGCACGGGTCACACACACCAGCACGGGTCACACACACCAGCACGGGTCACACACCAGCACGGGATACACACACCAGCACGGGTGACACACACCAGCACGGGTTACACACACCAGCACGGGTTACACACACCAGCACGGGTCACACACACCAGCACGGGTCACACACCAGCACGGGATACACACACCAGCACGGGTGACACACACCAGCACGGGTTACACACACCAGCACGGGTGACACACCAGCACGGGTCACACACACCAGCACGGGTCACACACACCAGCACGGGTTACACACACCAGCACGGGTTACACACACCAGCACGGGTCACACACACCAGCACGGGTCACACACACCAGCACGGGTCACACACACCAGCACGGGCCACACACACCAGCACGGGTCACACACCAGCACGGGCCACACACACCAGCACGGGTCACACACACCAGCACGGGTCACACACACCAGCACGGGCCACACACACCAGCACGGGCCACACACACCAGCACGGGTCACACACACCAGCACGGGATACACACACCAGCACGGGTGACACACACCAGCACGGGATACATACACCAGCACGGGATACACACACCAGCACGGGATACACACACCAGCACGGGTCACACACACCAGCACGGGCCACACACACCAGCACGGGCCACACACACCAGCACGGGTCACACACACCAGCACGGGATACACACACCAGCACGGGTGACACACACCAGCACGGGATACACACACCAGCACGGGCCACACACACCAGCACGGGTCACACACCAGCACGGGATACACACACCAGCACGGGCCACACACACCAGCACGGGCCACACACACCAGCACGGGTGACACACACCAGCACGGGATACACACACCAGCACGGGCCACACACACCAGCACGGGCCACACACACCAGCACGGGTCACACACACCAGCACGGGTCACACACCAGCACGGGATACACACACCAGCACGGGCCACACACACCAGCACAGGATACACACACCAGCACGGGTCACACACACCAGCACGGGCCACACACACCAGCACGGGTCACACACCAGCACGGGCCACACACACCAGCACGGGTCACACACACCAGCACGGGATACACACACCAGCACGGGTGACACACACCAGCACGGGATACACACACCAGCACGGGATACATACACCAGCACGGGTGACACACACCAGCACGGGATACACACACCAGCACGGGTGACACACACCAGCACGGGATACACACACCAGCACGGGCCACACACACCAGCACGGGCCACACACACCAGCACGGGTCACACACACCAGCACGGGTCACACACCAGCACGGGATACACACACCAGCACGGGTCACACACACCAGCACGGGTCACACACACCAGCACGGGCCACACACACCAGCACAGGATACACACACCAGCACGGGTCACACACACCAGCACGGGCCACACACACCAGCACGGGTCACACACACCAGCACGGGCCACACACACCAGCACGGGTCACACACCAGCACGGGCCACACACACCAGCACAGGATACACACACCAGCACGGGCCACACACACCAGCACGGGTCACACACACCAGCAAGGGTTACACACACCAGCACGGGCCACACACACCAGCACGGGTCACACACACCAGCACGGGCCACACACACCAGTACGGGCCACACACACCAGCACGGGCCACACACACCAGCACGGGCCACACACACCAGCACGGGTCACACACACCAGCACGGGCCACACACACCAGCACGGGCCACACACACCAGCACGGGCCACACACACCAGCACGGGTCACACACACCAGCACGGGTCACACACACCAGCACGGGCCACACACACCAGCACGGGTCACACACACCAGCACGGGCCACACACACCAGCACGGGCCACACACACCAGCACAGGATACACACACCAGCACGGGCCACACACACCAGCACGGGTCACACACACCAGCACGGGCCACACACACCAGCACGGGCCACACACACCAGCACGGGATACACACACCAGCACGGGATACACACACCAGCACGGGATACACACACCAGCACGGGTCACACACACCAGCACGGGATACACACACCAGCACGGGCCACACACACCAGCACGGGTCACACACACCAGCACGGGATACACACACCAGCACGGGATACACACACCAGCACGGGCCACACACACCAGCACGGGCCACACACACCAGCACGGGCCACACACACCAGCACGGGCCACACACACCAGCACGGGTTACACACACCAGCACGGGTCACACACACCAGCACGGGCCACACACACCAGCACGGGATACACACACCAGCACGGGATACACACACCAGCACGGGCCACACACACCAGCACGGGTTACACACACCAGCACGGGTCACACACACCAGCACGGGCCACACACACCAGCACGGGCCACACACACCAGCACGGGCCACACACACCAGCACGGGCCACACACACCAGCACGGGTCACACACACCAGCACGGGCCACACACACCAGCACGGGATACACACACCAGCACGGGATACACACACCAGCACGGGCCACACACACCAGCACGGGCCACACACACCAGCACGGGCCACACACACCAGCACGGGTTACACACACCAGCACGGGCCACACACACCAGCACGGGATACACACACCAGCACGGGATACACACACCAGCACGGGCCACACACACCAGCACGGGCCACACACCAGCACGGGTGACACACACCAGCACGGGTTACACACACCAGCACGGGTCACACACACCAGCACGGGTTACACACACCAGCACGGGTCACACACACCAGCACGGGATACACACACCAGCACGGGCCACACACACCAGCACGGGCCACACACACCAGCACGGGCCACACACACCAGCACGGGCCACACACACCAGCACGGGATACACACACCAGCACGGGATACACACCAGCACGGGTCACACACACCAGCACGGGCCACACACACCAGCACGGGATACACACACCAGCACGGGTTACACACACCAGCACGGGATACACACCAGCACGGGCCACACACACCAGCACGGGCCACACACACCAGCACGGGCCACACACACCAGCACGGGCCACACACACCAGCACGGGTCACACACACCAGCACGGGATACACACACCAGCACGGGCCACACACACCAGCACGGGCCACACACACCAGCACGGGCCACACACACCAGCACGGGTTACACACACCAGCACGGGTTACACACACCAGCACGGGTCACACACACCAGCACGGGTTACACACACCAGCACGGGTTACACACACCAGCACGGGTTACACACACCAGCACGGTTGAGGGTGTAGAGGTCTCACCTGTACTGGTGAGCGAGGAGGCAGGTAAGGTAGGTGAGGCCTCACCTGTATTGGTAAGACAGGAGGCAGGTGAGCAAGATGGACAGGTAATAGGGTTTAGGCCTCACCTGTACTGGAGGGAGGGGGGACAGGTGAGCGAGGAGGACAGGTGAGCGAGGGGGACAGGTGAGCGAGCTTTAGGCCTCACCTGTACTGGAGGGAGAGGAGGCAGATAAGCGAGGGGGTCAGATGAGAGAGGGGGACAGGTGAGCGAGGGGGTCAGGTAATAGGGTTTAGGCCTCACCTGTACTGGAGGGAGGGGGGACAGGTGAGCGAGGGGGACAGGTGAGCGAGGGGGACAGGTGAGCGAGGAGACAGGTGAGCGAGTTTTAGGCCTCACCTGCAGAGAGAGGAGCGGAGGCTGCGTCGCCGCCTCGGAGCGAAGTGAAGTTGGCGATGCGCAGGCGGCAGGGAGGGGGGACATGGGGGAGGGGGTGGAGGGGTGGGGGCTGTGGAAGGGGAACAGGAAGGCGGAACAGCATTCCGAGCTGCAGTCCTGAGACTGAAAGATACAGACACACACACAGACAAAGATCCCCCGTATAGCCTTAACAGGCTGTAGGGTCAAGTGCCGTTAGCGAACACCTATAAATAAAGGCTGGCACGGCACACGAGGGGGTGGGTGGCCAACACCACGCCCGGCCGCCTTTGTCTCCCTAGTGGCGAGGTACTCATTTGAGGCTGAGTCGACCTAGGGGAGACCCAGGACAGGTGCAGATAAACGTCACTGATGTTGGCCGTGAGCGGGAATCGAACACTGGTCGCCAGGTTTGTAGCGCAGCGCGCTAACCGCTACACTACCGCTACCCACACACACACAGCCACACATACACGCAGCCACACACACACAGCCACACACACACACAGCCACACACACACACAGCCACACACACACACAGCCACACACACACACAGCCACACACACACACAGCCACACACACACACAGCCACACACAGACAGCCACACACACACAGCGACACATACACACAACAACCGCCATTCGCCACTAAGTGGCGGTGACGTCACCACGACGCTTGTGCCAGGCCATGTGCACCTTGAGGCCACGTGAAGTTTCGAACGCCCGCTGGCAGGAGGTCACGGGGCAGACCCAGGTGCCACGGGTCGACTGACTGAGATGACCGAGATGACTGGCTGATGCACCACCGATGCCCCCTACTGTGCCAACTTGCTGTGCTTTAGCCACCTGGCGCTACTCGTTGTTGTGAGCGTCGCTCCTCCGCCCTCTGTTGTTGTTGGAGGGCGACTGCCTCCAACTGCCCAGTAGCGTCCTTCACGAACCTCCTCCACAGAGGCCGATCTTGACACCGCTGGTACCAGTCATCGGAAAGTCCACTCAGCTCCACGTCCTCCTGTACCACATCACTCCATTTCTTCTCCAGCCCATGCCGCTCCCGTTTAGCCCCCTCGATCCGGCAAAAACAGAAGCTACCTGGGCATGCGGTGGCTGGGCATGCGGGCTACGTGACCCAGCCAACGCAGCCTTGCCTGCCGGAGGAGCTCACCGATTGGACAGACAATGGGACGCGGACAGAGATAAACACACAGACATTCACAGATGCAGACACCACACAGGCTCACACAAACACACGGATGCACAGATTCCCACAGACAGACCCCACACTGCACACACAGAGATAGTCATGCACCGACTCACAGAGGCGCATAGGCCTGACAGATAAGGACACCCAGAGATTGACGGATACAGACAGCCAGCCACACACACTGAGACAGGGACTAACTTACAAAAACAAATATTCCCCACATCTAACCTATATAGACTGCTGTGAGCGGGAACCTGTAAAGGCTGGAATGGCACACGAGGGGGCAGTGTGGCCAGAACCATGCCCGGCCGCCTTTGACTTCCCAGTGTTCATGTTTTCAGACTGTTCCAGGTGTTACTTTAAGGCCGAGTCTACCTAGGTGAGGTTCAGGACCGGTGTAAATATTCGTCATTGATGTTGGCGGTGAGCGGGCATCGAATTCGGGTTGCTGCGTTCGTCGCGCAGTGCGCTAACCACTGCACCACCGCTCCCCATGGACATGGTACACACACACACGTGCTGTTAGCGACGACCTGCACACGAGGGGTGGGTGGCCAGCACCACGGGCGGCTGCCTTCGTTTTCCCCAGTGGCGATGTTTACATACCGCATCAGGTACTAACTTGAGGCTGAGTCGACCTAGGGGGAGACCAATGGACTGGTTCAAATAATCGTTCGCGCAGTGGGCTAACCACTGCACCACCGCTCCCCACGTACTGTACATGGTACACACGCACGCGTGTGCGCGTGTACACACGCACGCGCGTGTACACTCACACGCACACGCGCGTACACACACGCGCGTGCGTGTGTACACACACACACACACGCGCGCGTGTACACACACATACACGCGTGTACACACACACACGCGTATACACTCACACGCACACGCGTATACACACACACGTGTGTACATACACACGCGTGTACACAAACACGCGCGCGTGTACACACCCACACACAGATTCGCAGACTGTCGCCCGCTCAAGTCGGGCTCCACCTGCCTCGTCGCCGCCGCGGCTCTGCCTCCCTCTGCTGTCTGTAGCTCTGTCTCCCTCTGCTGTCTGCAGCTGAGCATCTCACGGTCACGCCGCGCTATAGACAGCCAATTAACGCCCGTGCCGTGGCGCAACAACTGCCTGTACGGGGGGTCGGGGTTGAGGTTTCACATGTCCCTTGGGGGTGGGGGGCATCAGTTCCATAAGTGTGGGGGGGGGGGGGGCATTCTCGAGCGGGCACAGATTGACACGTCAGCAGTCTCTCGCTGCGTCGCTGGTTCGTAAACCGAGTTTAGCTCTGGGTTCTAGCACCGGTCAAATCTTCTTTGCCGCAAGCTAAGCAGATGTTTCACCTGGTTAGCACTTGGATGGGACGCTGTCTGGGAATGCCACGTGATGTGGGCCTGAGCGGAGAGGTGGTTGCCGGGATATGGCAGGAGAGCACTGAATTGTTGAATCCACGCGTGCCGATCTTTGAGCGTCACCTCGTTTGCCCGCGGCGCTGGGTTCTCTCCGGGCTCTCTCCAGAGTTCATGACTAACCATCCCAATGAAGCAGCACCCTCTTTAAAACGAGCCTTGTGATCCTCATTGCACCTTTAATGCACAGATAAATGGCAGCATCGCTGACGACGCGGCGCTTGCAGCCGAGGTTGCGGGCACGTGGCGATCGTGGCTTCTCACAGCGACAGATTACAGGGACCGGACCCCCCAGAGACCCGACCCCCCAGGGTGGGTCCACAGATGGGTTTGTTGTGGAGAGAAAGAGGGGACCTGGGAAAAGATCCTGGAAGACGGCGATGGTAGAAGCCAAACGGAGAGATCTCCCAGAAATTATTGCCAGAGTCATGGGAGGGATTTGGCACGACCTGGCATCTTGAGTCTCGTTCAGACCGCCGTGGTCTCCGGGGCTCGGGGCGGACTCTGTGGGGGCCCCACCTCGCTGCGTGACGCTCGCGTGGGGAGGGCTCACGAGATGGAGCCGCACCCGCCGCATTAATTCGGGCCCAGGGTCGCGACGGAGCCACACGGCGGGACACAAACACACACACACAGCGAGATGACCTCTGAACGCACAAAGCAGCTGCGAGAAGGAGCCCGCCAGGTGCGCTCCAGGGCCCGAGAGGGTGTCCGCGCCAGAGTGGAGGTGGCGAGCCGTCGGCCCCGGGGCCTCGTGTGCACGGGGCTGCTCGTCTTGGGCTACGCGGGCTTCCTGCTCGTGGGGGTCGCGGTGTTCGCGGCCGTCGAGGCGCCCGAGGAGGTGCGGTCCCGAGACTTGGTGCAGCAGCATTTGGCCGTGTTCTTGCGCAACAACTCGTGCGTGAACATGGACGAGCTGCTGAACATCGCCGCGGTGAGAGCAGCCCCCCCCCGCAGCCCCCCCCCGCAGCCCCCCCTCCCCACCGGCGGGAGGGGGCCCGAGTGGAATTGGTTCCAGTGAGAGATCGAACCCTCGCGAGGGGTGGCGGTGGTCCCAGAGGTGGTTTAAGACCTCCCTGCGAGGCGGGGACCCCGGGGAGTGACCTCAGATCCGTCTGCGTGACTCGCATCGTCAACTCCACATGATGATGATGTTAGCGCCGGTGAATCCCGGCAGGACACACAGGGAGCCGGCGGGCGTGCGTGCGCACCGCCCGCGCTCGTGCGTGTCCACGAGAGCGCTCGCCTCGGGCGAGATCGTCACTCGCTGAGGAAGTTGAACAAACAATATCGGGGTTCATTTCACAGTTGCTGAGCGCAGGCCCAGAGGCCGGCAACAATCAGCACTGTCATCAACGTCGTTGTCCTCCCCACCGCACCTGCGATGAGCACGGCTGGCTACGTGCGTTGCGAAATAAAGTTCAACGTACACGCGCAAAGTTGTAGGAGGCAGGGCGCGTAGCGCGTTCCCTGTATCGGACGAGATGGTTGTTATTGACACGATACGCGATTGGGTTGGGCGCGTTGGGGGGTGGGAGACACGGATGATGGAAGTGCATTATTCCGAAGTCGAGCGGTTTCCTGGGAAGAAGCACACAGAGAGATTGAGGGGGGGGGGGGGGGGGGGGCGGGGAGTTGATAGTGGGCACAGCGGACGCGGCTCGGAGTGCGCCGGGCCGTGCCGTTTACAGGCCCGCTGAGATAAGTGGTGGGAATTTCACGTTCCTATGGCGGGGCCGAGTCTATACACAGGACAACCACGGTTGACTAACACCACACACGAGGCACTTATGTGATTGCGTCTGGGCGGAGAAAGGGGATGATGAGCTGAGTCCATCCCCTTCTCGACCGACATAGAGGAGTTGAACTCATACCCTTCCAGTGGCGAGCCTCTCGCTCTGGTGCGGTGTGTGTGGGATGTGTACTGTGGTGTGTGTGTGGTGTGTGTGGGGTGTGTGTGGTGTGTGTGGGGTGTGTGTGGGGTGTGTGGGGTGTGTGTGGGGTGTGTGTGGTGTGTACTGTGGTGTGTGTGGGGTGTGTCTGGTGTGTGTGGGGTGTGTGTGGGGTGTGTGGGGTGTGTACTGTGGTGTGTGTGTGGTGTGTGTGGGGTGTGTGTGGGGCGTGTGGGGTGTGTGGGGTGTGTGGGATGTGTACTGTGGTGTGTGTGTGGTGTGTGTGGGGTGTGTGTGGGGTGTGTGGGGTGTGTGTGGGGTGTGTGTGGTGTGTGTGGGGTGTGTGTGGGGTGTGTGTGGGGTGTGTGTGGGGTGTGTGTGGTGTGTACTGTGGTGTGTGTGGGGTGTGTGTGGGGTGTGTGGGGTGTGTGTGGGGTGTGTGGGGTGTGTGGGGTGTGTGGGGTGTGTGTGGGGTGTGTGGGGTGTGTGTGGGGTGTGTGTGTGGGGTGTGTGTGGGGTGTGTGGGGTGTGTGTGGGGTGTGTGTGGTGTGTGTGGGGTGTGTGTGTGGTGTGTGTGGTGTGTGTGGGGTGTGTGTGGTGTGTGTGGTGTGTGTGTGGGGTGTGTGGTGTGTACTGTGGTGTGTGTGGGGTGTGTGTGGTGTGTGTGGTGTGTGTGTGGTGTGTGTGGTGTGTGTGGTGTGTGTGTGTGGTGTGTGTGTGGTGTGTACTGTGGGGTGTGGGGTGTGTGTGGTGTGTGTGGTGTGTGTGGGGTGTGTGTGGTGTGTGTGGTGTGTGTGTGTGGTGTGTGTGGTGTGTACTGTGGGGTGTGGGGTGTATGGCGTGTGTACTGTAGTGTGTGGGGTTTGTGTGGTGTGTGTATTGTGTGTGGGGTGTGTGTGGGGAGTGGGGTGTGTGGTGTGTGTGTGGTGTGTGGGGTGTGTGTTGTGTGTGTGTGGTGTGTGTGTGGTGATGTGTGTGGTGTGTGTGGTGTGTTTGTGGTGTGTGTGGTCTGTGTGTGGTGTGTGTGTGTGTGTTGTGTGTGTGGTGTGTGTGTGTTGTGTGTGTGCGGTGTGTGTGGTGCGCCGGGCCGTGCCGTTTACAGGCCCGCTGAGATAAGTGGTGGGAGTTTCACGTTCCTATGGCGGGGCCGAGTCTATACACAGGACAACCACGGTTGACTAGCACCACACACGAGACACTTATGTGATTGCGTCTGGGCGGGGAGAGGGGATGATGAGCTGAGTCCATCCCCTTCTCGACCGACAGAGAGGAGTTGAACTCATACCCTTCCAGTGGCGAGCCTCTCGCTCTGGTGCGGTGTGTGTGGGATGTGTACTGTGGTGTGTGTGTGGTGTGTGTGGGGTGTGTGTGGGGTGTGTGGGGTGTGTGTGGGGTGTGTGTGGGGTGTGTGGGGTGTGTGTGGGGTGTGTGTGGTGTGTACTGTGGTGTGTGTGGGGTGTGTGTGGTGTGTGTGGGGTGTGTGTGGGGTGTGTGGGGTGTGTGGGGTGTGTGTGGGGTGTGTGTGGGGTGTGTGGGGTGTGTGTGGGGTGTGTGTGTGGGGTGTGTGTGGGGTGTGTGTGGTGTGTACTGTGGTGTGTGTGGGGTGTGTGTGGTGTGTGTGGGGTGTGTGTGGGGTGTGTGGGGTGTGTACTGTGGTGTGTGTGTGGTGTGTGTGGGGTGTGTGTGGGGTATGTGGGGTGTGTGGGGTGTGTGGGATGTGTACTGTGGTGTGTGTGTGGTGTGTGTGGGGTGTGTGGGGTGTGTGTGGTGTGTGTGGGGTGTGTGTGGGGTGTGTGTGGGGTGTGTGGGGTGTGTGTGGGGTGTGTGTGGTGTGTACTGTGGTGTGTGTGGGGTGTGTGTGGTGTGTGTGGGGTGTGTGTGGGGTGTGTGGGGTGTGTGTGGGGTGTGGGGGGGGTGTGTGGGGTGTGTGTGGGGTGTGTGTGTGGGGTGTGTGTGGGGTGTGTGTGGTGTGTACTGTGGTGTGTGTGGGGTGTGTGTGGTGTGTGTGGGGTGTGTGTGGGGTGTGTGGGGTGTGTACTGTGGTGTGTGTGTGGTGTGTGTGGGGTGTGTGTGGGGTGTGTGGGGTGTGGGGGGTGTGTGGGATGTGTACTGTGGTGTGTGTGTGGTGTGTGTGGGGTGTGTGGGGTGTGTGTGGTGTGTGTGGGGTGTGTGTGGGGTGTGTGGGGTGTGTGTGGGGTGTGTGTGGTGTGTACTGTGGTGTGTGTGGGGTGTGTGTGGAGTGTGTGGGGTGTGTGTGGGGTGTGTGGGGTGTGTGGGGTGTGTGTGGGGTGTGTGTGGGGTGTGTGGGGGGTGTGTGGGGTGTGTGTGTGGGGTGTGTGTGGGGTGTGTGTGGGTGTGTGTGGGGTGTGTGTGGTGTGTGTGGGGTGTGTGTGGTGTGTGTGGTGTGTGTGTGGGGTGCGTGGTGTGTACTGTGGTGTGTGTGGGGTGTGTGTGGTGTGTGTGGTGTGTGTGGTGTGTGTGTGGTGTGTGTGTGTGGTGTGTGTGTGGTGTGTACTGTGGGGTGTGGGGTGTGTGTGGTGTGTGTGGTGTGTGTGGGGTGTGTGTGGTGTGTGTGGTGTGTGTGTGTGGTGTGTGTGGTGTGTGTGGTGTGTACTGTGGGGTGTGGGGTGTATGTCGTGTGTACTGTAGTGTGTGGGGTTTGTGTGGTGTGTGTATTGTGTGTGGGGTGTGTGTGGGGAGTGGGGTGTGTGGTGTGTCTGTGGTGTGTGGGGTGTGTGTTGTGTGTGTGTGGTGTGTGTGTGTTGTGTGTGTGCGGTGTGTGTGGTGTGTGTGGTGTGTTTGTGGTGTGTGTGTGGTGTGTGTGTGTTGTGTGTGTGGGGTGTGTGTGGTGATGTGTGTGGTGTGTGTGGTGTGTTTGTGGTGTGTGTGGGGTGTGTGTGGTGTGTGTGGGGTGTGTGTGGGGCGTGTGTGGGGTGTGTGGGGTGTGTGTGGTGTGTGTGGGGTGTGTGTGGGGTGTGTGGGGTGTGTGTGGTGTGTGTGGGGTGTGTGTGGGGTGTGTGTGGTGTGTTTGGTGTGTGTGTGGGGTGTGTTGTATGTACTGTGGTGTGTGTGGTGTGTGGTGTGTGTGTGGTGTGTGTGGTGTGTGTGGTGTGTGTGTGTGGTGTGTGTGTGGTGTGTGTGGTGTGTACTGTGGGGTGTGGGGTGTGTGTGGTGTGTGTGGTGTGTGTGGTGTGTACTGTGGGGTGTGGGGTGTATGGCGTGTGTACTGTGGTGTGTGGGGTTTGTGTGGTGTGTGTATTGTGTGTGGGGTGTGTGTGGGGAGTGGGGTGTGTGGTGTGTGTGTGGTGTGTGGGGTGTGTGTTGTGTGTGTGTGGTGTGTGTGTGTTGTGTGTGTGCGGTGTGTGTGGTGTGTTTGTGGTGTGTGTGGTGTGTGTGTGGTGTGTGTGTTGTGTGTGTGGGGTGTGTGTGGTGATGTGTGTGGTGTGTGTGGTGTGTTTGTGGTGTGTGTGGTGTGTGTGTGGTGTGTGTGTTGTGTGTGTGGTGTGTGTGTGTTGTGTGTGTGCGGTGTGTGTGGTGATGTGTGTGGTGTGTGGGGTGTGTGTGGGGTGTGTGGCGTGTGTGTGGTGTGTGTGGGGTGTGTACTGTGGTGTGTGGTGTGTGTGGGGTGTGTGTGTGGTGTGTGTGTGTGTGGTGTGTGTGGTGTGTATGTGGTGTGTGTGGTGTGTGGTGTGTGTGGTGTGTGTGGGGTGTGTGTGGTGTGTGTGGTGTGTGGTGTGTGTGTGGCGTGTGTGGTGTGTGTGTGTACTGTGGCGTGTGTGGTGTGCGTACTGTGGTGTGATGTGTGTACTGTGATGTGTGTGGTGTGATGGGCGTGTGTGTTGTGTGTGGGGTGTGTGCTGTGGTGTGTGTGGCGTGTATGTGGCGTGTACTGTGGCGTGTGTGATGTGTGTTGTGTGTGGTGTGTGTGGGGTGTGTGTGTGTGTTGTGTGTGGTGTGTGTGGGGTGTGTGTGGTGTGTGTGGTGTGTGTTGTGTGTGGTGTGCGTGGTATGTACTGTGGCGTGTGTGGTGTGTGTGGGGGTG